ACAATATGTTCTGTTTGTCATGTGGCCCAATGGAAAAAAAATAAATAAAAAATTGCCCACCTCTGAAACTATAACTAAAAATCTAAAAGCTGACATTGAATAGCAGCAGGTCACACTAGCAAGAAAGAGATTTTTAAAAATGTGTACCACAATGACCATGCAGCGCTGCCGAATCCTACGTGTCACTGATTAAGAAAATAAAATTGGAGAATGCAGTAAGCACAGAGCAGTGGGCGTATGCCAGCGGCAGTGAAAAAGACTAATTGATTTGCAAAGTGGTGTCTTGAAAATAAATGATTAAAGATTGCTCACACATGCACGAGTCACTCCAAATATAACTCTGGGTGAGTAAATGGCGAAAGGAAACAATTATAACATGATTTAAAGCTCTGAAAAGTTCATTTAGCGTAATAGGTCTACTTTAATTGGACATTTTTACAATGATAAATTAGCTGAAAAAATAATTATACTACATTACTGTTAAAGTTAAAGTACATATATTACAGCGTGACCGGTCTTGGCTAAGAGGAAATTCCTAAATTAAAAGAAAACACCCACAGAGCATCGGTGTCCTCATCTCACTTGACTACAAAGTGCCAGAGTACACTGACACATAGTGACATAGTTTTGCGTTCAATTTAACGTGTGAGTGAAATCAAATCGTGGTGTTGATTTGGGTTGAGGGCCGGGACAAGGATCAGGAATGGAAATGTTAGGTGGGTTACAAGACTCCTACAGCTGTTAGCTCTTCCTAAAGAATTTAAATTGCTGCATAGTCCAAGTTCTTATGGCCAGTGGGTATCTTTTGTTTCAGCTATATGTAAGGACTATGTTATACTATGCTACAGTGTAGTATTAAGACAAGACATAACATTATGACCACCTGCCTGATATGAAACAAGAAACAATAGACTTCAGACAGTTGTTTATACGGTCTGCAAATGGATGCAGTTTCCAAAGATGAACTTACGATTAAAGTACACTGAGATAATATTTCACAATGAAAATTTGTCATTCAAATAATCAGCCTGTTTAAGAGTAGTTGGTGAAAAAACAGCTTGACTGGCATTATCTATAAGAGGGGTCTCCAACCTTTTTCTTCTGGTGAGCTACCTTTACAAAACAAAAATGCCAGCGAGCTACTAATTTTAAGGACTGCAAGAAATTGAGAAGATTATAAGGAAGAGGGTAAGCCTTTGGGTACAGTTAGGTGCCTATAAAACAAACCATTGTCCATTCATTAGTGCACAAAGTTGGGCTTCAACATGATACATTTACAATGGTAAAAGGTATGTAATTAATCACATTTTTGTTATACAGCACAAAGGTTTAATTCCGAAATCCATTGGCGAGCTACTTGGAAAACAGTGGAGAGCTAGTGGTAGCTCCTGAGCTACAGGTTGGAGACCCCTGATCTATACCATAAAAAGAATTAAAGGGCCCATGTTATGCTTTTCCCTGATCTATAATTTCCATAATTTATATTTTTATAATGTTATTTCCTCATCACAAACAAACCTGGATTTACGTTTTGTTTCATTCACACATATTTATTTAGGCTTAGTTCTTCTCTCAAACAAAAAACCTTGTGATGTCATGTGGTAATATAGAAAGTGCTCCACTGTGTTTTTAAAGTCAATACACCTTCACTAGAATCATATGGATGATTTCAGCCCTGGAGTTGCCAATCTCTGCACTACCACTTCATGATATCACAAGATGGAACACAGCATTTTGAGATCTGGAGATGTAGACAGAACAATAATAAAGATTTACTTAAATATGAGAATGAAACAAAGCACAGCTCTAGGGATGTTTTTGAGGAGATAACAACATTCTGTTATGGCTTAAAGCTCACAAGAGTCAATGTGGCATAACATTAAAAGTCAGCTATCTTGTGAGCTGGCAAGTGTGAGCTGGTGCTGATATAATTTGGACAGGTACATGTTGTACCTGGAATCATTATAATTTCCAGAAACTGTCTTTTTAATATGATAGCAAGTGACAAGTTAGTCTGTACTGGTGTGAAATTGTAATTGTTTATAGTTGAATGATTGTGAGTATGATTGTGAACAGAAACGAACATTTGAAACAATGCCATGTAAGTGATGCAAAATAATCAATCTTCATGACAACAAGCAGAAGGGTGCACCAAGTTACAGGTCAGATCTGTGAAGACTGGCCCTGTTCACAGTAAGAATGTTCCACTGTATCTTTGAGCATTAAAACCACCCATGTGGAAATACAGGCTGGATAGATTCATTGAATGCTGCATTGTGGAATATTCAAGACAAAGCAATAACATCTCCAAGTGCCAAACTATCTTAAAAAGTTATATGATTCATCTTTACGCACATCCAAATTGCAGTCCCTGTTGCTATAATGAGGATATATTTTGTTATTTTGTGGCTGACAATGGTTGTAATGATACTCTTGATTAATGTGTGAACTACTATTAAATGTAAAAAGATATAAACGATAAGTCTCTCGTAGCAGACCGGTTGGTTATGTGTGCTCTCTCCTGGGGGATTCAGACCTACCTTGTCCCCACAGGTCCCAGTGCAGGCTATGAGTGTATGATATCAGATGACACATTCCCACACCTCAGCTGGAGCGTGGGAGAGTGGAGCTGAGTGGAGCAGACAGCATGAAGAGGCCCCACACGCGCCCTCCGCCTCCATCAGGACTGCCCCGTGTGGAGACAGCTGGTATTACACAGTGAGATAATCTGCACTGATGTTCTGAAGAAGGCAGTGAAAGTACTGGGTATGCTTATATGTAAAAGTCAGGTGTGGGAATCAAACCCACGACCATTTTGCTGTAAGGTGACAGAGCAAACCACTTTGCCATTGCACTTTATCCCTATTGTCAATTATTATTTTACAGAACAAAACATAAAAACTATATCGTTATCTCTGCTCCGACACAGTTTTTATGTTTTGTTGTATTGCATCAAATTATAATTTTTACTAGTAATATACATTATGTAACTTTTCTGATGAATGACCTGCAGCTTGTCTCAATGGAAGAGTTATTTCTAGATTTTGATTTATTTCTGTGGAGCAGCAAGCTGAAGCCCGCTCACAGTAAGAATAATTTTTTCTCAAGGTACCTGTAATTGAATTTATGCAAAATTTCAGGCAAAGCCCACCATCTCCATGGAGATAAGCAGGACCCAGCAGAAAAATTCCATAATGCATCTAAAGTATAGATAACACTATAACAGTGACTTCTTGAAAAACTGCAGCCTGAACTCTGTGCTCCTTAACCTTCCCTTAAGTGCGTACAATATCTTTGGTCCCATTGGGACCCTTAGTCATAAACCCCTCCTTCTTTTGTTTTTACAGCGCCACCCGGGGGTTGTAATAATGTACAGGTCTCCACAGTGGATTCTTACCAACCCAGTTCTCGTGATTCCAATAACTACAGCCATTTTACTGTCAAGAAACTTCCCATGAGGGGGCATTTTAGCGAGGAATAAACTCCAAACCAAATCTGTAACCAATCCATTTCACCGCATGCATCTTGCTGGCTTTTATGACACCACATGTTCAGCAGTGCTTGGCACGTAAACAAGCGTGTGTTTGTGATGTTTATTGTCTCTGGCCTGAGGTTTTTACCAGGAGATTACGGTTTCATCTGGGAAGTACAGTTGGAGCACCCCTGGAGGACAATGCTGATCAGATACAGATCGGCTGAAACAAAAGACAAGATTTACAGTCCCAATGTTGGTCAAATCACACAAAAAGTTTGCTCCATGACAGTATTTGGCCCTTAGGTGAGGAGAGAATACTAACCTAATATGAAGGTTTTCCAAATTAATCATAATTTAAGGCATATTTTGGATTGAATGTAATAATTTCCATAATTTTGACCAGCGTAGTTCCATAGAGACTTCAATAATTGTTCACCTCCACCCATGCAGGGCTGGCCAATGCGTTTTGACTGTCTGCTATTCTCAGATGTCACAGTCAAAATGAATCACATGATCTCATTCCCTGGCATAGTTTATACCACTGGGGTAGGCCATTATTATTCTAATAAAATATACACTGCTAAAAAGGAGAAACAACTTAAAACTTAAATGTTAATCTGGATTTGAAATGTTTAGGCATTGTTTTAAATGTGTGCAATGTAACTTTTTTGCGAGAGGGTCCACCGTCTTCTTGTCTGCGTGGACATTTTACCTGGAATGTTTCACAGTGTGGCATTAAACGTGTCTGTCTTAATGAAGACAGGGAGGGGATGCTACCAAACCAAGTTACAGGACAGATCTGTGGAGAGGCAAGCCCGCTCACATTAAGGATTCATGGTGTTTACTTTTGAACAATAGAAACGCCTGTAACTGAATAAGATTAATAAATAACGATACATTTAATGCCATACTGTGACACATTCCAGGGAAAGCAGCAACATCTCTAAGGAGACAGGCAACCCCACAATAAAGCTGCATACTGCCCCTTTAAAATATTTCTGTCTTTCAACCTAAATTACTTTGCAGTGGGGTAAATTCCAGTTCAAAAGAGGAAAAAAATAAAAATAAATAAATCCCCCCAATCTAATCCATAAATTTATAATAAGAAAGAAAAGAATGAATAAATTGGCCTTTTTAAACAAACCAAAATACACAGTTTAAACAGAGAATTACTGGAACAAGAATATTTTAAATGTAAGTCAAGGGTTTTTTGTCCCAGTGGGTGGTTGGTTATTAGTGTCACAGGGCATCACCTTCACCCAGGATTAAGTGTTGGTAAAGAGCCTGACCAGTGTCCCTGACCAAACTCTATATGACAGGATTTACTGAAATGAGGCTAAATTAGCGTGTGATAAAGCTCTAAAGCCTTTGACCACAAAGCTTTTCTTTTAAGATTTGTTTCCATGGTAACATTAAGTCCAGCCAATGTAAATGAGTGGTACATATTTCCGACCTGATGAAAGTGAGTGTTAAGTATCTAATAAAGTAAGTAAGTGGATACATGAGTTGAGTGACGCGATAAAGGATGCTGCAGGTTCCGTACAGCAGTTCCGACCAAACTCTATATGACAGGATTTACTGAAAGGAGGCTAAATTAGCGTGTGATTAAAGCTCTAATGCCTTTGACCAAAAAGCTTTTATTTAAAGATTTGTTTCCATGGTAACAATAAGTCCATAAAGTAAGTAAGTAAGTAAGCGTAAGTAAGAAAGTAAGTCGAGTGACGCGATATAGAATGCAGCCGTTTGCGCACAACAGTCCGGAGAGGGACCGGCCGCTGGTTCAAATCCCTTTCACGATCTTTGCTGTCTTGACGGTGATGCTGCCGTTGTTGGGCCTCCTGATCTGTCTCTCCGTTGCCCTAATTTTCCACTTCAACGACACCACCTACACGCACTGTAAGGTGAAGAACTACCTGCCCTCCATCAGCTCTGCGATCAGCCCTGTCCCAGAGCGTTACATCTGGAGAGGGTTCATTGCGCTTCACGCGGCACGTCGTTACCTCTGCTCTGCGGTGTATTTCTCCTTTTACTACCGACACTTCCACGGTCGGAAACCGGAGCTGCTTCTGACCGTGGTCACTCTGCTCCTCAGCCTCATAGAGAACACAGGGCTGCTGTGGGTGTCATACGTGGGCTCCACCGAGTCGTATAAGAGCCATATGTACGGTTACAGCGCATTCATTGGCAGCTCGCTTCTGTACATGTTCACAACGCTCTGCCTGTGGTATGTCATCCAGAGGCGCTCGCTCCACTCAGAGGGAGTGAAATCGTACAGGTGGAAGCTACGTCTCTTCCTGTTTAAACTCGTCTGCTGCGCGTGTGACTTCTATTTATTCAGACGACATAACGAGTTCTGTGAGCCCGGAATGTACACTTTATTTGCGCTGTTCCAGTACCTGGTGGTCTTCTCTAACATGGCCTTCCACATGACGGCCTGTTGGGACTTCAGGGGCAAAGCGGTGATGTTTGCGCGCCGACAGAAGGATAAACGCTACTGAATCCACAAAAACATCCAGACTGAATTAACTGTTTATGAGAAGACGAGGTACAAGGTGCTTGGTGTTCTCTAGTTTTCTGCTGAGAAAGAGGGAAGGTCAGACGTCAGTGGTAGATTTTGCCTTAAACCATCCACCCTCCCGCCGGCGGGCGATTTTCCAATAAAAAATGTTCACTCTGTATATTCACCTTCATTATTGTTTTCATTGCTGGCATGCCATACATCGTTTGAAAGCTTAATTTATCAATAAAACAACCATATCATTCATTTTATGCCGTACAACGAGCCCAAAACGCTATAACTTAAAAATTCACATCATAAACAAAGAATAAGAGTTTCTTACCTTTGAGCCGGTTCTGTCGGTCCAAAACGCGTTCAATCCATGAAAAGTTGTACTCAATAAATCCGTAATAATCCACAGAAAAAGAATATCAAGTTGTTTTTCCAAAAAATAATTCCATGTGGGGAAATAATCCAGAAAACCGTCGTCCGTATGAGTGGATGAATCCGTGAATGAAAATATTATGTCTCTTCTTCGCCTCTTCTCCCGCTCTGGCTTTTTTTTTTCTCTTGGCGCTCTTGGGTACGCTTGTTTTCCTCACACTCTTAGCTTCAAAATGAGACCCTCCCCGCTGTTGTCGGTGGCGGGGTTTAGGTGGGGCAAGCCGCTGAAGAAGCTAACGCACTCACGTACTTCCTGGCTTTACGCACGCGTCATCAGTTTGTTTACGGGAAATCTCTTCAGTCATTGGATCTTCCAGAAAGTGATTGACATATTGTTTTAGCCTATCACCAGAGCTTTCAAACGGTGGGTGGGACATGCAGATAGTATTTGAAACGGACCCTGTGTTTATACGCGCAGCCGAGAGGGACCAGGAGAGAGACACAGAGAGCAGTGTGGCAGTGCAGAACTGCCAGTTGGAAGACAATTTTGGCTACTTTTAGTTTTTTTTCTTGAGAAAACATGCCTAAAGCTCAGAAGAATTAGTATTATAATAATAACAATTATTATTATATTATTATTATTATTATTATTATTATTTTGGCACAAATTTGGCAATCTTGTGCCAAATTGTCATTTTGTATACACAAAGGCTCACAGCATCAAAACCCTTTGTCCTAGAGATCTGAAATTCTACACAGTTGTTGCCAACAACTTGAACAATGAGTGTAGTGAGTCACAAATGCCTAGCATGAAGTATGACCAAGCTAAGGCCTTTATTTTTTTCAATTGTTTTTTTAAAGCAAAAAAATACAATTTTTAATTGACTGTACTGTAGGTTAGGCAGCACTCACAGTCTTCATGTACATATCTACAGAAACTAGAAGGCCTAAGCTTTAAAATGGTGCCGCACACAAGCATGTGGGTTCTAAGGTTTTCTTTTAATAAGCTATGGCATTTGGGTATGTCTTAACATTGTGCACACACCCAAAATGAGGCGGGTGGTAACAGGTTAAAGCTGCATATGGAGCTTTTCGGTTGGGGGTCCGTCACCTGCTTGTTTCTGTGGATATGTCATTGCTCTGCCTGGAGTGTTCCACAGTGTGACATTAAACCGTTCTACCTTACATTTATTCAATTACAGTTGATTTTATAGCTCAAAAAACCTAGAAAAACACATTCTGATTATGAGGGGTCGCCTCTCTGCAGATTTGACCTGTAACTCTGGCCTGGTTGCGCCACCTGCTTCTTTTCATGTTGTAAGTTAAAGGTTGTATAGAGGATTTTTCCAAGGAACGAGAAATCCAGCGACTGTTTGTCCTTTTTCAAATGTTGCGCATGCGTGAAACCACCCCCCCCCTCCCTACAGCTCCCTACGTAGAAACGCCTCCTCCCGCCTCCTCCTTACGCCAGAAACAGGTTTGTTTACAGTCGGTGCGCTGCACATGACTCGTAAAGAACTAACTACAGTGTTGGTTAGGCAAGGTGGAGAAGTGAGGAGCGGGGGGAGCGGGTGCGTGGACATTTCGTGCGCGGACGAGAAGTGAGGAGCAGGGAGAAGAGCGGAGCAGGGAGCAGGAAGAGGAGAGAGGAGAGGGGAGCGGTGCGCGGAGATTCCGTGCCCGGAGAAGCAAGCAGAGGGAGATCCCAGGTTTTGATATACTCGTGAATTTGCCTCAGTCCAGCTTCGACTTTGAAATCCTTGCTTGCAATCCACTCAATGTTTCTCAACGCGCTGCTTTCTTTGGCGTCCTGGTTCTTCTCTGTGTAGTAGGGGTCTGTTAAGGCTTTCACAAGATGAGCTGATTCAGGTGCCAGGTCTTTATATTTTAAAATGCGATCCATTGTCTCTTCCTGCCAGATTTGCCATTAACCTGCGTGTTTTGCGTTCAGCCAGCCTCTGTTTAGGCAAGGCAAGGCACTACTGAAAATGGATGTGTTTAATCAAAGATGGCACCTGGTGAAAACAAACTTGGGAGTGTGATGTTTTAGACCAGACATGTCAAACTCTGTATTACAGCTGCATAAGAAAAGGTTTAACATTACATATCTCGAAAGAAGAGAAAACACGCAAACACTTTTGAAATTTTTCAATAAATATTTAGTTAGGCCTCGACTTAGTCACAGTTTTTTAATTTTGGCCTCTGTGAATTTGAGTTTGACTCTCCTGGATTAGACCCTTAACCTATTTTTATTGTTTATTCAGCTGCGTCTGACTGAAAGGTTTTCATTTTTCATGCCACACTCTTCTCTCTCATTTAATGTCTCTCTCTCTCTTTTAAATTTTATGATGATTATTTATGTTTTGATTTGTTTGTATTGTGATTTTAATGTTTTTCTTATTCTGTAACACACTTTGAATGACTTTGTGTACAAATTATGCTGTACAAAACAACATGCCTTGCCTTTATATCACACTGTGGAACATTACAGCCAAAGGGACATATGGGTCCCTGGGTCGTCCAGGCCAGAGGTTTGTGGAGATGCAGAGCGCTCACAGTGTTTCTGTTTAACTCAGAGACTGCATGATTTTGAGTTCCAATCTCCAACTGGAGCACAGCTCACCCTGCGGAACACTGTTCTAGAATGTTGTGATGTCACTGCTGTTTCCATGGCGACCCGTGCTCCAACTGGCACACAGCTCATCCTCCGGAACACTGTTCTAGAATGTTGTGATGTCACTGCTGTTTCCATGGCAACCCCAAGATAAAGACACCTGACCACTTTGTCTCTTTGATGTCATCAGATGTCAAAGCATAAAAGATTATAAGAGACAGAGAACAAACCTCAGACAATTCATCTGTTGTTGAGAATTCTGTGAGAAGTGCATTAGCGCTTTTGAGAATATACATAGACAGCTATAATTGTCGAGATGAGTATGTCAAACACTCGCACAATCCTCCATAAAGATAATGCAACCAAATTTGTGAGCCGGGAGCGCACGTATGACTATCTGTACGACCCAGTTTACACCGTCTCATCAGAGGTGGATCATATCAGGACCAGCTTGAAGGCTTACACATCCAAGGACAGAGTGTTGAAAATCCCAGAGTATGGATCTATGTTCAGCCATCTTCCTCACTATCCAAGATTCAAACTTCAGCTGGACCCTTCAGACCCTGTACCAGCCACTGTAGACCGCCGATGGAGAGGTCACGCAGAGCAATACAAAGAGGCACTGCATCAACTGGCTGGTGTTAGAAGTGCCTCATCAAGGCTGCAGAAAGAGGAAGGTCATGTGACTGGATCTGATCGCTGGAAGTATTTCTCACACCCTTTGATTCCATTTGGACAGCAGCTGCCCCCAGATGTTATCTTTGCGTTGCCAAAAGAAGAGTTTGTGTCCAGTCTGGACCAAAAGCCTATACAGCAGCCCACACATTTTACTGTGGCAGTCCAGACTGACTACAGAGAGAGTGAAACACAGACAGATCCTTACAGTCCAGAATATATTATCGAACCTGGCACAACGCCTTCTGAACTCCTGACTCTGGCATCTCTGACTTGGGGTCATGGACTGCCTGCAGGTTTGGCAGAGGTAGAAATGATAGAGCGTGCTCGAGCCAAAAGAGCATGGGAGGCCACTCTCCCTCCACTGGATGACCTCAGTCAGCTGGACAAAAGGAGACGCATGATGGAGAAGATAGAGGCTAGGGAGTGGGCTTTCAGAGAGGGGCAAATCCAGAAGCTAAAAGAGGCCCGTCTAGAGGTGCTGACAGACCTCCTGAAAAAAAGGGACGAGATTCAACAGAATTATACACATGACAGACTGAAGCAGATCAATCATAAGCTACAGAAAGAGAAGGAGACCAAAATTAATAAGATCAACAATGACTATTTCCGGGCAATGAGAAAATTGGACGCCAGACACAGTATAGCAATGGACAAACTAACACATGCATTGAACTTCAAAGATTATTCTGATCTTTCCTCGCACATGCGCCCTGCTGTAAGACGAAAGCATGACGCAGACAAAAACTACTACTTTGACACCGAAGGCTTCACAGAACTGGAAACTGGGCTCTCTGCTTCTTCATTGAAATCATCAGTGAAAAGTGCACAGCAACCCACTAGGAGTAAGATCAAAAACTCTAGTCAGAGAGCGATTCAGCTGTATGAGCAGTACACGGCCCTAACGAGAAAAGACACGTCAGAAGAGCCATTGGAATGCCTTGTCAAGACTGAGAAGTCTTCTCCTCCGCCAGTCACTCCTGAAGTAGAACGACCACCAGAAGGGGAGGAAGAGAGAGAAATTGCTGTCATCAACTTGCAGCTCGTTGTCAAGATTGAGAAGCCTTCTCCTCCGCCAGTCACTCCTGAAGTAGAACGACCACCAGAAGGGGAGGAAGAGAGAGAAATTGCTGTCATCAACTTGCAGAAGTTACTGAGAGGAAGAGTCGATGCTCTTCAGAGTAAAGAACAGGCGCTACAGGAAGCAGAAAAAGACCGAATATTGAACCTCAAACGAGAGAGAGATCAACAGATCCGCAGGACTGAGCACGTGGAGGCACTGCAGGCCAGAGCTGTGGACACAGAGCTTCACTACATGTTTGACACTTTATCCAAAGAGCTGATCAGACTGCAGGAGGAACGAAGGATCCATGCCTTCACTCTCCTCGCTGAGAGAGACCGCCGCATGCGAGAGGCGGAGGAGAGTGGGAGGAGACAGGTTGAAGAACGCAGAAGAAAAGAAGACGACGACATTTTCAGACAAGTGGTGCAGATAAACCAGGAGAGTGTAGACTTGTACTTGGAGGACATCATTCTGGAGACCACAGAGACTGCAGCAGATGAGCAGGCGAGAAAGGAGATCCACCAACTGGCCAAAGAGGTCAATGATGTAGCCTGCGCCATGGAGGAAAGCTGTCAGTCTGAAGCCATTGTCTATGAGTTGGTGTACAACTTTCTCATCCCAGAGGTGGCTAAGACAAGTGTCAGGCAAAAAGTTCAACAGAAGCAGGAGAGACACTTGCAGGCGGCTCGGAGCATTATCCATGGCCTCCTTCATTCACCTCCCTCTGCTCAAAGCCCCTCAAACTCTGTCACTCAGGATGAAGAGAGAGTGAAAGAGTCAGAGCAGCCTCATACACACACAAACAATTAAACCGTACATTAAAGGTTGTATAGAGGATTTTCCAAGGAACGAGAAATCCAGCGACTGTTTGTCCTTTTTCAAATGTTGCGCATGCGTGAAACCACCCCCCCTCCCCTACAGCTCCCTACGTAGAAACGCCTCCTCCCGCCTCCTCCTTACGCCAGAAACAGGTTTGTTTACAGTCGGTGCGCTGCACATGACTCGTAAACAACTAACTACAGTGTTGGTTAGGCAAGGTGGAGAAGTGAGGAGCGGGGGGAGGGGGTGCGCGGACATTTCGTGCGCGGACGAGAAGTGAGGAGCAGGGGGAAGAGCGGATCGGGCAGCGGGGAGAGGAGCAAGAAAGGGGTGCAGAGAAGGGTGCGCGGAGATTCAGTGCGAATGAACTAGCTACAACACGCAGCAGCAAGCGGACTCTTTCTTTGCATTGAAAATTACGTTTTCAGACATAGGATATCGCTTTCGTGTCCTGAAAAACGTTTGACTAGCTCTTGGAAATAAAGTACGTTTTCATAATAAGCAGAAGTGACCTGTCCAGGAGTAATTTGGCGACCAATGCGTCAGTCTTTAGACCCTGCGTCTGCTTCAGTCGCGCCATCGCTGGAATGAATCTTCAAGAATCGCCTTAGTTTGGCTTCGCTGCTTTTCCCCTCGTCTTCTTCTTTCATCGACCTCAAAAACGGACTTTCTTTTGCGGTTAACTGCTCCTGGATTCTTGTCTGCCATTGCAACAAACTTTGTGCTAACTGCGAGGAAGATATAGGTCAAAAAAAGCCGCTAAGAACTGTTGCGTTGGTGGAGTAAACAGCGTCTGTGCGGCTTGCGTCTGTGGACTGCGTGACAGGCGTACGTAAACCACGTACCGGCGGCGCGCAGGCAGGTCAGTTACGCTAGAAACGTAGGGAGATTGATTGACAGCCTGTCAGCTAACAGATAACGAGGCAGTGTCGTTATCTATTGGCAAATGTTTAGCCCCACCACGTCCAGAGTTGATGAATTTTTATTCTCTTTTTTTTGGTCATCATAATTACAAGGCTACTGCATCTCTATAATGCTATCATTGACAATTTGAAACAAAAAAAAAAAATCCTCCATACAACCTTTAATGCCATACTGTGAAACTTTCTTGTCAAAGCAATGATATTTCCTAGGAAACAATCGCTGGCATAGTGCGCCTTTAAAAATCATGTAAGAATAGTTATTTTTCAAGGCACTAAAACCATTAAATGTCTGCTAGATAGATATGTTTAATGCCATATTCTGGAATATTCTTTAAGCAATGATATCTCCATGGCAACAAGTAGGTTTTGGAGTCTGGATGGGTTTCCTCTGGGCACTCCGGTTTCCCCCATGAAGCCAAAACATGCTACATGTGACATACTGTTTTATGGAGACCTATGTAGGTAGGTAGACCTACCTACATAGGTCTCCATAAAACAGTTGATAGTCATGGTGAGTTAAATACAATCAATTCAATCATTGTGTCCTTAGGCAAGACATTATTGCCTAGTATGAAAGTGGTGTGTGAGTGAGTGATGGTGGTGGTCGGAGGGACCGATGGCGCCGAGTGGCATGGCAGCCGCGCCTCTGTCAGTGTGCCCCAGGGCAGCTGTGGCTACAATAGTAGCTTACCATCACCAGGGTATAGAGTGAATGAATAATGCTGTATGAATGAATGCTGAATGAATAATGCTGTGTAAAGTGTCTTTGGGGACAGAAAATGTCTGTGAAAGCACTATATAAATAAAGACTTACTTACATTTGGCAGCATATATTTGCACTTTTTACTGCACTACAAAGTTCTTCTCCTGGTTTGAGCCCTTCTGAAATAACTGAGACTTTTTTTTGGCACATATAATTTGAGTTAACATCCAAACTTTGAACAAACAAAATACACAAACACACAAAATAGGCAAAAAAACAAACAAAAAAACAAACAAACATAAGAAATCAAACGAATCACTTAAAATCTGTTAAATTCTTTATCAAAATCATTACATTTTAATTGTTCCCAAAATCTCAGGAAAATACTTTTACTTTTTTTTACTCTTAATGTACATTTTTATTTAGATTTTTTCATGTGATACTTTTACTGTAATATTTTGCTGTATCTGTACTTTTACAGCACTGTGGAACTTTTCCATTGCATTGCCTATAACGTTCCAGTGTATGGTGTAAAACTTATCCAACATGCAGTTTTTCACTTATATGTGTTTTTTATGCTCAAAATACCTTGAAAAACATGTATTGTTACTCTAAGTGGGGCCGCCTCTCTACAGATCTTGCTTGAAACTTGGCTTCCTGGTGCCTCCTGCTTGTCTCCATGGAATTAAGGAGGTTTAATGACATATTGTGTAAAAGACAAGACAAGTGATGGCCCTCTACCCCAAAAGTTACACAATGCACCTTTAAGCAACAAAATTGAGTACTTCATCCACCAGTGCTGAAACCTTTGTGAACTTATATTACATTGCCAAACCTTTTTCATGCTGTGAAAACAAACTTATGATACAATGATTTGTTCATACTTGGCTCCACACACACTCATGGATCTCTGTCAGTGGCCTTTGATTTGAGCAAAACAGGTTGTCACGGATACTCTAATGGTTTTCTTCATTGGTACATAAACACTGAGTGCCTGTGAACCATATCGTTCTGTAATCCAGTGTTTGTTTAAAGGGACAAAGGCAACTCCCCATCGATTTGGTTAGTGTTTTGATTGCAGCTGGAGTGTTTTGTATTTTAAGTGTATTGTTGTTGTGTTATTAGACACACCTACATTTATGCTGGCACACTGATGTTTCCTCTGTTTCTACTCTTACTTAATATCATAATTTCTCACAGATTAAGACACATTATTTGATTTTCTTTTCAGAGTGGCAGAGGTTTAGTATACAAATGTCTAACCCCTAATCACAAGGCTGACAGTTTAGTCTCAGCTCCAACCAATGCTTGCTGTTGTTGTGTCATTGAGATGACGGTAGTCAACTTGGCAGAAGTTTGCTGTTACTGTAATGGAGTGAAACAGGGACTGCCCATACACTGGTTACGGAAGTAAATTTGTCATTTATACAAAAAATATTATAATATGGATATTTAAATTTTTCTAGTCTGTAGGGAAAATGTATGGAAATTTCACTTCCAGAACCAGAGTGGACGGGACTGTTGAGCTCCATATGTTTCATCACTCACCCAAGCTTCTTCAGTTCTGCTAAAATGTTGTCTGTGTAATCCCTCAGTTGTCTAGATTAGGTCCCTAACAATAAACAAACAAAAAAAAAACTCCCATAAAGTTATTATAATATTAAAGATGGCTTACATGTCTTTATTATTGTAAATGAATATATTGTTTTAAAAGCAGCACACTGAGACAAAATAAGATGATTGTGCACTGTCTGCATCTTATTGTAAAACATTATATTTGATATTTTATTTGATTACAAACACAAAAAAAGAAGAAGAAAAAAACAATTGCTGTAAAAATATGTTTCAGGATCAGGGCATGTAGACAGTAGCCTGATTCATCATCAGACCTCGCAGCATTAGGATTTGTTCGCTCGACAGAAGGCAGGTACTTTTTTTATTTAACCAATCACTGCCATGTGGTAGTGATGTATAAAATACGCCTAATCCCGTAGGAAGAAGGGCAATAACGTCTTTCCTCTTGATAAAATTCACCAAACATTCTCTTTGTTCCAGCTTTAAATCGTCAAACTCGTGAATTGTTGCCAACACAGAATGTATGACCGTCTACATCCATCTCGACTGCTTTGTTTACTGTTGTGCTGTACCACATAAGGGACCCAGAGAGGAGCTTGAGTTTGATGTCATTGCTTCACAGCTCTTTTCTGATTGGTGCGCAGTCTACAACTTCCTGGATTATCTAGTGTATTCCAATTCATGACCTAGTCACTGGAGAGAAACGAAGTTGAGCGGAGGCACTAGGTGGTGCCAGCCTGGCTATGTAGACAGTGTAAGGGCTTGAAAATGTATTTATGTGAGTAACATGCTTGGAATGAGTTAGAGAGATTTGAACACCTACTTTCTCTCTTCACAGTTTTAAAATCAGGAATGCATCTTATTGCAGATAACTCAAGATACGACGTTATTAACAAAAATATGTTTCACAGTGGACAAGGCCTACACATGTGAACAGATAAAAAGATGGCTCCTATTTGTTGTGGGAGATTAAACAACCTGTAAGAACATGTTGTTTTTACTGTCTCCAAACCAGAGCATTATCTCCCACTGCAGCTCGGTTTACAGCTACTTTAGACACAACTTTGATTCGTGCCAACTCACATCCTGTGCACACGGACACCTACACTTTAAGTATATGTTACAGACACCTGGCAAACCGAGAGGATGAAACCATCAATCAGCACTTTATGAATCCACACTAAAAGGCTTAGAATAGGAAGCACATGTCCACATTAACATTCCTAACGGAGATCTTCTCATAGTCTTTATTGGGAAAGTTATAAAAATCCACTCTGGTTTGTCGACTCAAGTGACCCCTGTGTGCTTTTAGCTGTGTGTGTAAATCTCGTCAAGCACAGGTGCCAAATAAAAGATTATGTTGGAGTAAAAAGGGCTGCGAATTCTTCACCGCTGATGAAATATGATATAAGCAATGAGGCTGTACTAATTTGCTCAAAGAATGAAAATGGCAGACTGACAGAATGACAAATTACACATACTACACTGTCAATAAACTTTTACACCACTGGAAGGAGAACAAAAATGAGCTGTCAATAATACAGTAAAATTGCTTCTGCTTTTATATTACTACTACTTTTACAACAACAGCTGTGGTCAACATAGTATTATTACAGATACTACTGTCATTCTTTTTAATTAATTTATACATTTACACAGGATTTAATAAAAACAACAATTTGTTAAAGGTCTATATTATGCAAAGTGGATTCTTGTGAGCTTTAAGCCATGTTATAATGCTCTTACCTCCTCAAAAACAGACTTGGAGTTGTATTTTGTTTCGTTCACAC